AATGCGGAGAAACTAAACGTACGGGTTAGAAATATATTTCCATTGTGAAATTTTTATGTGCACAGAGCATGCATTTTTGTATAGAAGTAGAGTTTCTAATATTTTTTTGGACGAAAATGTTTCCAAGTTTTTGTCCAAAATTGGAACTGATTCCACTGATGAGCAAACTTTCGCCTAATAGTGGCTTGAAACTTCAGTTAAATTGGTGAAATTGAAAGAAAAAAAACTGAACTTGGTGTAGTTAAAAGTGCGGCCCAGTTAGGCGATGAGTTATAGTCAAAAACTCAGAAACGAAAAATACTCCACAAGTTTAGAGTTGTGTGGCCAGTAAAGAAAAGTGCGCTATAAATGTCGTCAAATTTTCGAACTTCATTCATCGTTAAGAACATTTTGCTTAGGGTTTGAAAAAACTGTTGCGGGACACATTTTGTGGCGTTTTTCGAAAATAAATTTGTCAGAAACGAAAAATACTCTACAAGTTCAAAGTTGTGCGTTTAGTAAAGAAGCGTGCGCTCTAAATGCCGTCAAAATTTCGAAATTCAGTTATCGTTAAGAAAATTTTGCTTAGGATTTGAAAAAACTGTTGCGGGACACATTTTGTTGCGTTTTTTGAAAATACATTTCTCAGAAACGAAAAATACTTTACAAGATCAAAGTTGTGCGTTCAGTAAAGAAGAGTGCGCTCTAAATGCCGTCAAAATTTCGATATTCAGTCATCGTTAAGAAAATTTAGCTTACGATTTGAAAAAACTGTTGCGGGACACATTTTGAGGCGTTTTTCGAAAATAGCTTTGTCAGAAACGAAAAATACTCTACACGTTCAAAGTTGTGCGTTCAGTAAATAAGTGTGCGCTCTAAATGTCGTCAAATTTCCTTTAAAACTTCAAAAGTCCATTCAAATCGCATGAAATCCTGAATTTTGCGCGTTTCTTAAATGTTGCAGACTCTTTAATAAAAAATTCCAAGTTCCAAACTAAAACCAGAAGAAACTTGAAGATTGACATTCTGTAGAAGATTTTTTTTAAATAAAATTTTGTCGTAAACCTGCACCTAAATGCCTGTAATTCAAATTTCGTGTGAGTTTTGTAAAAAATCCACCAGAGTTTACTCACGAACTTTGTTATAACTCAATCGAGTTAACAATTCTCTATTCAATCATATAAAAACGAACTCTATGGCTGAAATGGTTCTTGAGCAACGGCAAAAGAGGTGGCGTCAGGTTTCAATCGATTTTGCAATAAAAAAAAGGCTAAACTAAAACTCTAGACTTTCTTTAACAAAAAATATAAAACTGAAACCCATTTTTGCATATCTGAAACGGTTCTTTGGAAACGAGCTACAGATGAACTTGATGTAAAAATACAAAGCCGCCTAAAATATGCCCAGTTTAAAAATGTCTTGTGAAGGAATCAATGGTTTAATCGGAAGCAAATCCACAATATAAATTAGCTGCTGCTTCTTGTATTGAATACTGGAACGCAAAATTCCACATCTGAAGCGGTTCTTTAGTGAAAAGCCCAAAATATTCCCAAATTTCAAAAATTAACTACGAAATAACCAATAGCTTAATCGATACCAGATCCACGCTACGAGACAGTTGATGAATTTGGGAGGACTAAAAGTTGTACATGTACATGGCAACCTGGAGCGAAGTAGTGCTAAGCTTACCGAAAGCTGCGTAGTGTTACCTGTAAAGAAAGAAGAGAATGTGTTTTGTACAGCAGGAAATCTGCCCAAAGCCAAACGCATTTCAAATCGACAAAGCAAAGTGAGGGAAATATAAAGAATCTATAAAACCTCAGTGGCTTGTCGGAAAACTGGACTCAGTTCAAACTAAAAGACTTATAGATTAGAGATCATTCTTACCAGCTTTCTGCAAGCTGGCGTCCTATCTTCCATCTTCTACTCATCAATCCTCCAAAGGTTCGTTACATTTTCACACTTGCGACAAGGTCCACAATGATTCTATATTTCCCATCTAAGAATGCGATGAGTTATAACTCCAACCAACGCACAGAGCGGCATCAACCAAAAAGTGCAACTGAACACAGTGTTACCTAGGCCTAGCTGAAATAGTTGTTTAAAGCCGAATAGTTATAAGCACAAATTTGAAAACGGTATAAATCATCGGCTGTAGCATGCAGCGTTTCATATTGAAACCAGTTCGCCCGCTTTGCAATTGCATAAAGCAAAAGCTTATCAAACCGAAATAAGTGAAATCTTGGTAGTTTCTTTGACAAATTACAGATTTGCGAATCCAATTCAGTCACCTTTTTGGTAAACCAAAACATATTTGGAATCGATTTTTCTCTTAAAGTTAGACGAAAAATTGAAAAATTAAACTATCGATAAAATCTAAACAGTCATAAGAGCAATTTAGTAAAAGACATTTTATGTGCTTACATTTTCGAACCAAAATGCCGAATTTTTGAGTGAAAGGTTGAATCTACGTATCAACCGCCTGAAGCGGTAAGATAAAGATTTTGCGTTAACTTTTTGGTATAAACGAGACTGAAATTCAGTAAAACTGTGTTCAACTGAAAATGACAACAATAACAATAATAATAATAAATAACAAACAAACAACACAACTTAACAATAATAAATGAATATAACTATATGAATTTCATATTTTACATTTGAAATTTTAGACGCATTTGCAGGCAAAAGGACAAAATAGCAAAATTTTGCAAGTGAGCTTTACTTCAGTTAAAAGTCTGCCAGAATCAGAGATTTCGGGGGCAAGCCCTGTACACTGAATTTTCATCTTGGATTGCCGATTTTAGCTTCAACATGAGCTCCATATGATGAACATCGACCCAAGAGCAGAAAAGTAATCCCTGCAAGACCAAAACATGGATATTTTCAGACCACCCTGTAAATAGAAAGCATGGCCAAAAAATTCTAAAACTGATTCAAGCTATTTAGTTAACATAAACTTTGCGTACATTCCAAAAATATCATTTTCTTCGAACTAGGTGGATTCCGACCTTACCGCAGTTTTATATTTTTGCATTTGCCATCCTGTAGAAAATTTATCTGAGGCGCTTAATTTTTACCAAAACACTGCCTCACAAACAACGAATGGGGCTGGATAATGCTTCAAACGGAAACCAAATCGCTCGGAGGAATCAGCATTTATCCACTATCAAAGTTAGGGATAGTTTGGTTGTGTAAAGCTCATTTTGTTGCGCAGGTTAATTGATTAAAACTCTACAGTTAAAAAATCACAAAGAATTGGCTCTAAAGTAGCCCTAATGTATAGTCGAAAAGGCCGGTTTGCTGAAATTGAGGATTCAAATCGTTAAAAGAACGCCGTTTATTCCAGTTTGCATTCATTCAGTTCGTCATTGAAAGTTGCAAAACTGCAATTTGCCACAAATCGATTCCGGTTCTTTCGGTTTTATAACCTGAAGAAAAGCTTGGTCTCTTCTTAAGTCTAGAGTTTTAAACACTCAAAAGGACCATTTTGATAGAATCTTCGATTTCCCGGTTCCTCTTGCTGAGAGGTTTCTTTGGAAAAACAGATTGATTCGAAAGCTCTTAACCACTTAAAGGACCTGTAGAACTTCGAGAAGATTTTTATAAGTAGATGGATATAATTTTATTGTATGCAAGTTGAGGATGGCAATTTTGAGAACATCAAGCTGAAATTTGTCAGAAAAACGTAGTTCTTATTCTTGTGGATGACGTTTTGAAATCGTTGAGATCCGAGGAAACCGTTGACTTTTAAGGCCCAGAGCGACACACATAAAGTTTAATGAAATTTGTAGATTTCTGTGGCTTAATATCTTCGTCTTGTTCGAGTCATTTTAGGACTTGATTGGCTTGCAATTACTCATTGAATTCACGTAGCAAATCCTCCAGTTCAGTAACATTCATAAGTACTTATGAATTAATACACTTATCGTCTGCGAATCTCGGGTGATTTGGATAGCAACCGTCGATATTAATGCTCCTATTTTTCCAATTTACTTTCTTGAAACCGTCAAAGCCGGAGTGAAGAGTTTTGGGGATGTGGTGTCACCTTGGCGACACTCCTCGGCCAATCGCAACATTGTCAGTCTTAAGATCTTGGTTGATTTTAACTTGACGGGAGGCGTTTTCGTAAATCCTTTGGATTAAATTGGAATATCAAATGCCTTATGAAAGTCAACAAAAGCCAAGTGTACTGAAATGATATTTTCGTGAGTCTTTTCTTAAGCAGCTCCATTGTCTGGACATGCTTTAATGTGCTGAAATACCGTCGCCTGTTCCACTTCCAGGGAGGTAATTTGGGCAAAAGGGATCTTCAAGAGCTTCAAAAATGTATTTCAAGCAAATAGATGCAAACAGTCGATGAGTGGTAACGATAATTCTGAAAGACATTTTGTATGTGATTTGAAGCTGTGTATTTGTTCAATATCAATTTGTTCTTTAGAGGAGACCCCAAGAGGAATAGCAATTTTTGAATTGGCGCTGGAAACCTTTTTTGGTGAAAAATGTTGATGAATTGGCATCTAAACGGGACCAGATCTTGCAGGGCTTGCACCAAAAATTGCCTTCGAGGGTGGATCGATTCGACTGGCGATTTAATTTTGCCATCAAACCGTGTAAATAAGCCTGATGCATATTTGACCATGAATGTTTAATGGAAAACATCGAATGAAATGGTGGCTGTATAGAAGTGAGCAAGGTTGATGCCAATTACGACATTGTAATCATTCAGCGGGTGCATGTTCTTGGCGCAATATCAAAGCCCGTAAACAATTTTCGCAGGCCGGAGTACCTAGTGAAAATACCTTGAAAATGTTGTATATATCCATACTATGTAATGGTTGTAATGACATTTGGGCGGTCACTGCGCAAACGTATGCGCCGCCCACCATTACTGACCTACATTACGCGGGGCCGATGACCTTTCGTTCGCAGCGCTAAATACTATCCAATGAAAAATGACAAGATCGACATAGACGTTCGCCAGGATTTCCCTCTGCGATGAAAATTCGTAAAATACTTACATTTTTTTGCAATAATCGAGGCACTTTATCCGGGCCAGATAACAGATGAGGTTGATTTTGATCCAGTCATTGCTTGGGCTCCAGCGTCTCGGCAATCGTTGCCCGTTTATCCAGTTCTCATGGTGTTCTCGCAGCCCCCCTTTTTACGAGTCACACCACACCCCGACCACTAAGCACTGGCTCGTGGTGCCGGCCCAAACATAAACATTGTTATTTACGCGAAAAGCCAAAATAAACGAAAGTCCGCCAGTTCACTTTTCATGCACAATGCCACCGATGGTCACGCGGGCCGTCGCGACACTCGCTCGCCAGCTCGCCTATTTGGGTAATTAGTGTTTTTCGTATCCAGAGGGTGTTCTAGGGCATGCTCGGACAGCCTTATCAGCTAAGTACTATGTGAAAAATAAGGACACCGTGCACATGAAGAGTTGCGAGTACGTAGCTGTGTTCGCCGGGACTGAGTGCGAGGTGAATGACCTGTGGCTTACGACATCGCGGTGGTGGGGAAAGGCAGCACACGAGAATTTTGCTGCCGGCTCGCCCGCCCGTTTACTTTATACTGCATCTTTCGTTTCCGCTTTCATAACACCCGGATGAATCCCCCGGAAAACTCCTTTTTCCACGAAAAAAGCACTCTTCGACGCGACAGGGTCGTCTTTCACCCACCTCTGTCACCTTGCCGTCACTAGTTTGACGTACTCTGACCAGCTGCCAAACTGACAAAGCACCGCTACATGTCAGTGTCCTTCAGTTTCACTTATTTTTTGATACAGCTTACCAAAAGTTGTTTCATTAGCTTTATAATTCCCTTTTATTTCGATGTACCTTTTTTCGTAATTAAATTGGAAGATATTTTCTAATAAAATTCTATTAAAAATAAGGTTTTTTTTTCTGACGCGACGGAGCCGTCATTCATCCACCTCTGTCACCTTACCGTCAATAGTTTGACGTTCTGAGACTAGCTGCCAAACTGTCAAACCACCGCTACATGTCAGTGTCCGTCGGTTACACTCATTTTATGATACAGGTTTTGAAACTTTTTTCATAAGCTTTATTATTCTCTTTTAATTCGATTTACCTTTTCTCGTAATTAAGTTGGAAGATGTTTTCTAATAAAATTCTATTAAAAATGAGGGTTTTTTTTCTGACGCGACGGAGCCGTTATTCATCTACCTCTGTCACCTTGCCGTCAATATTTTGACGTTCTGAGACTAGCTGCCAAACTGTCAAAACACCGCTACATGTCAGTGTCCTTTGGTTACACTCATTTTATGATACAGGTTTTGAAAGTTTTTTCATAAGCTTTATTATTCTCTTTTAATTCGATTTACCTTTTTTCGTAATTAAATTGGAAGATGTTTTCTAATAAAATTCTCTTGAAAGTTAGGTTTTTTTCTGACGCGACAGAGTCGGCATTCATACACCTCTGTCACCTTGCCGTCACTAGTTTGACGTTCTGTGACCAGCTGCCAAACTGACAAAGCACCGCTGCATGTCAGTGTCCTTCGGTATCACTCATTGTATGATACAGTTTTTCAAAAGTTTTTCAATTAGCTTTATTTATCTCTTTTAATTCGATTTACCTTTTTTGGCAATTAAATTGGAAAACGTTTTCTAATAAAATTCTCTTGAAAATTAGGTTTTTTTCTGACGCGACAGAGCCGTCATTCATCCATCTCTGTCACCTTGCCGTCACTAGGTTGACGTTCTGTGACCAGCTGCCAAACTGACAAAGCACCGCTACATGTCAGTGTCCTTCGGTTTCACTCATTGTATGATACAGTTTTTCAAAAGTTTTTTCCATTAGCTTTATTCTTCACTTTTAATTCGATTTGCCTTTATTGGTAATGAAATTGGAAGATGTTTTCTAATAAACTTCTCTTGAAAATTTGGTTTTTTTCTGACTCGATAGAGTCGTCATTCACCCACCTCTGCCACCGTGCTGTTACTTTTCACTTGCTTGTCGAACTGTCAACGGACAGTGACATGTCAAACTTTTGTATGTAACAACGCTTTTTTTTAATAGCTTTATAATTATCTTTTAATTCGATTTATGTATCTTTCCTTTTACATAAATAGGATGATATATGTCACCATGGTCCACTTCCGTGTCATTTTTTGACCGTTTTCTATCTATGTTTAATTAAATTTTCTTTACTTTGCAACGTAGTGTGAAATATATTTTCAAATACATTTTCCTCGAGAAAAAACTCCTTGAAAACACATTTTCCACCAAAAAAAAACATTTTTGGAGGCGGGGATTCAATCATTTCTAACATACTGCTGTTACTTTTCACTAGTTTGACCCTAGTTTGATGTTGAGTGACTAGCTGCCAAACTGCCAAAGCACCGCAACTTGTCAAACTGATCACCGGGTTCACACTTTTTATGTTACAATTGTATATTTGACTGTTTTTCTCAATCGATTAATCATTTCTTTTCAATTAATTTTACTGCTTTTGAAGATTTATTGAAATGAAACTACCAGAAAACTCGTTTTTTTTCCTACGAAAATCTTTCTTTTATGCGATATGGTTGACATTTAGTCATCTCTGTCTCCCTGTTGTCATTTTTCCCTCGATTGACTAGTTTGACGTTCTGTGAGCAGCTCTCAAACTGTTAAAGCAGCGCTACATATCAAACTGATCATCGGTTTCCTTTTTTTTTATGTCACCATGGTCTACTTCCGTATCATTTTTTGATCGTTTGCTATCTATGTTTAAATACATTTTCTTGCCTTTGAAACGTAGTGTGAAATATATTTTCAAATACATTTTCCCCGAGAAAAAACTCGATTTTCAACGAGAATCTCCTTTAAGACTTCTTTTTCTACCAAAAAATATAGAACCTCAATACGACATGATCGTCACTGACTCACTCACATCTCTCATCTTGTTTCCACTTGTTTGACTAGTTTGACGTTGAGTGACTCCGTGAAAACACGTTTTTCCACCGATAAAATAATCTTCGAGGCGACAGTGTGAAAATTCATCCACTTCTAAACTTTTGCTGTTACTTTTTACTAGCTTGACGTTGAGTGACTAGCTGTCAAACTGCCAAAGCACCGTAACATGTCAAACTTTCGTCGATGTCATTCAAATCGTGTTACAGATTTAGAAATATTTTCATGTAGCAACGCATTTCTTTAAAGCTTTATAGTAATCTTTTAATTCGATTTATGTACCTTTTCATTTACTTAAATTGGATAATATTTTTTAATAAAATCCTCTTGAATACTAGTTTTCTTCCACTAAAAAAACATTCTTCGACGCGGTCATCATTCAATCACCTGTGTGTCTTTGCTATCAATTTTCACGTGATTGGCTAGTTTCACATTGTATAGCCAGCTGTCAAACTGACAAAGCACCGTCATATGTCAAACTGATCATCGGTTTCACACTTTTCATGCTACAATTGTATATTTGTCAATTGTCTTTCAATCGGTTAATAATTCCCTTTCAACTAATTTTACTTCTTTTTGGTCCGTGGTTTCGAAGACATATTGAAATTAAATCTTCCAGAAAACTTTTTTTTCCTGGTTTGACTAGTTTGACGTTCTGTAAACAGCTCTCAAACTGCCAAAGCAGCGCTACATGTCAAACAGATCATCGGTTTTGTTTTTTTCATGTCACCATGGTCTACTTGCGCGTCATTTGTTATCGTTTGCAATTTATGTTTAATTAAATTTTCTGGCTGTTCCAACGTAGTGTGAAATATAGTTTCAAATACATTTTCCTCGAGAAAAAAGCTCTCACTTGTTTGACTAGTTTGACGTTGAGTGATTCCTTGAAAACATGTTTTTCTAGAAAAAAACATTTTTCGAGGCGACAGTGTGGGTATTCAATCACTTCTAACATTTTGCTGTTACTTTTCACTAGTTTGACCGTAGTTTGACGTTGAGTGCCTAGCTGTCAAACTGCCAAAGAACCTTAACATGTCAAATTTTTCATCGATGTCATTCAAATCATGTTATATTTAGAAATATTTTCATATTACAACGCTTTTCTTTAATAGCTGTATGATTATCTTTTAATTCGATTTCTGTATCTTTTCTTTTACTTAAATTGGATGATCTTTTCTAATAAATTCCTCTTGAATACTTATTTTCTTCCACGAAAAAACATTCTTCGACGCGACAGGGTCGTCATTCACTCACCTGTGTGGCTTTGCTATCAATTTTCACTTGATTGACTAGTTTGACGTTCTGTAGCCAGCTGTCAAACTGACAAAGCACAGCCATATGTCAAACTGATCATCTGGTTCACACTTTTCATGTTACAATTGTCTATTTGTCCGTTTTTTTTCTATCTATTAATAATTCTCTTTCAACTAATTTTACCACTTTTTGTTACTTAGTTTCGAAGATTTAGTGAAACGAAATCTTCCTGAAAACCCCTTTGTTTTTATACGAAAATCGTCCTTTTATGCGATATGGTTGACATTCAGTCATCTCTCTCTGTTGTCATTTTTCCTTGGTTTGACTAGTTTGTCGTCGAGTGACTACACCTGTCAAACTAATAATAGGCTTCTTGCTGAATCGTTTCATATTCAATCTTTCTGTCTGTTTCACTATCATTTCATTTTTCTTTTTTCTTAAATTCATAATTTTTTTGACTGAAATCGTTTTTTCTGTAACTGGAATCGAAATTTTCAGGTTATTAGCTTTTTTTCTTACATTTAAATTGAGCAAAAAATTGAAAATCTATTAGAAGCGTTTTGCAATTCAAACTTGCAAGTTGACCACAATTTAAAATAAGTCATTGCATCAATGCAGACATTTTAAAAAATTTGCAAAAAAATTAAAAGCAGCAGGAAACTATAAAAGCTGTAATTCCATTTCACTCACCATTAGTCAGGAGTAGAGTAGATGTCAGCTAGAAACTTGTATTTTTCACCCAAATGTTCAGGATTTCTCGATAGAAACATTTTTATAGCGGTCGAAATTAGTCTTTTCGAAAGTACGAAATAAAAAAAACATGTTTTTTTGACTAATAAAAAAATTATAATGAATAAAAAAACAGAACACACACTAACTCATATACAAAAATGTGTTTTGGAAAAAAAAAGTTTTTCATTATTATTTATATGTTAATGACGGACTGTCCGGCACAATGACAGGCGCTTTAGTTTAATGGCGAATGAGGAGAGTTTGTTCGCCATTTGCTCTGTCAAGATGTGGAAAGTGCGTCGGATTTTTCGCTTTATATGTGGAAAACTGTTGATTTTTGCAAACCCAAAGTGTTCCTTTCTAGTGTAGTGCCATTTTCGTGACCACTAGTGTGCTTTTGCTAAGAAAAACACGACTTTTCCTGTGGTAAGTGTTTTGGATGACGTTTGCTGTCAAGCTTGACAAGCATCTTCGGACTCAGCTTAGGGGCAATTTTATTGTCCCTCAAGCGCATTTTCACGACTTAAAAATTTTAAATACACACTTTATTTCATGATTTTTAAATGAATTTAAGTAGGCTTTAAACAAAATGTAATAGTATACAGTGTGTCCCAATACCATCAGCCTAAAAGTTGTCTATTAATGAAACTATGTAGTTACTAGGAATTTCTAAATATTCGCCATACAGAGGCTGGGCGAACAGAAAAGGCTTCTACGTAAGTGGAAACCTGTTGATAATCCAAAACGAGTCCGGCGGAACGATTTAATACGCTGTTCCCCTCGTTCTTATTAAATCATCTAAAATCTAAAGGGGGGCACCTATATAAAACCATCCAGTTTGGCCGTGCCCAGTTTCATATACCTGCAGCCAAATCCGTTGACCATGAAGCTGTACTTTCTGCTCTTGATTGTCCTCGGTGAGTAACAATAGCAAATTCTCACATTTGTCGCATTGATTCGTTGATTTGACTGCATGCATTTTATTTTTCTCAACAATTGATCGTTCGCTTGCTCAACCTGAGTGGAAGTCATGTTTCCAAGAAGCGTCTGCTAATATGTTCCAAAGTGATGCAAACTAATTGAAAATAAACAGTTTTAGCCAGTTGTTGTTTAATAATATGGATTATATTTTTAGATATTGCATCACTGTAAAAATTGTTTTGTTGAGCTTCAATAAGTCCTAATAAAAATTGCGTCTTGCATTCTAATCAACGTATTAAGCAAGCTGGTGGTTTCCTAGTGCAAAACTACCAAGAATTCACGGGTTTTTAAAATCGATTTTCAAATTTACATAAATTATTGTGGTCAAATGGCGCTAGGTCAGGTGAATAAAGCGGATGTTGATCCTTCCACCGTCATGGCCTATGGTTTTTTTCAAATTATTTTGTCCTTGCTATTAATAAGTGAGACCAATGAATTAAATATTCATGTGTTCTAATTGGATTTAGAAAGTTTTCATTGTTTCAAATCAATTTTGAGGACATTTGGTCCAAGTGGAGTAAACAGTTGACCTGCAATAAAACTTATTACTAAAAAACCATGTTGGAGGCTTTAAATTCGTTTATGGAAAACTCGAAAAATGGAAAAAATAACACTGATTTTCCTTTAATTAATCTGTAAAGTAAATCGCCACTAAAATTGGGTCGAATTTTGGTTCTCCAAAATTAAACCCAAAAGTGTGCACTTTGAGATGAATTCAATTGAACTTGAATTCCCAATTGCGCTGAAAATTTTACTCGGCACTTATGTTGATTTCACTTTTAAATCGAAAACTAACATGCTAACTGTTAAATTTTGAGTTTAAAGTCAAGATTGTTTAAGCTGGAAGTGAAAACGCCGACTTTCCAACTCAATTTTAACGAAAATCTTCAAATAATTTTTGTTCAAAGTGGAGATTTGTTTGTTTAAGTTGAAAAACATTTTTAGCTTACTTCGACAAGTTTCATTTAAAGGCAAAAACTTGCAGTTCTAAATTGAAAGAACGAGAACGAAAGAAAGTGTTCAAAATTTAAATTCCAAATAAAAATGCAGCAAACAGCTATTTTGGTTTTTATAACACGTTTTTGCAGTTTTAATTGAAATGTTGAAACTTTTCACTTTTTTCTAAACTGGAGCTTTCCTGGACAAAAACGCTAAAACGCGGGGGAATCTCGATTTGAAACTGGAAATTACGAAATTGAAATTTTAATTTTGTGTGAAACTTGTAAGTACMTTTTGTGTACATTCAAGTTGATAAGCTTCATGCTCTGAAATTAAAATTTACATTTAAAGCAAAACATTCCTAGTTTGAAGTTGAATTATTTTTTCAGTTCGAATTGAAAACTTAAATTTAACAGTTGGAATTTTGATTTTTGACTAACTAATTTAAAAGTGTTGTTAATAACGTTTCCCTTGCGTCATTAGCAACTAAATTACCAAACGTTCAAGGCAAGTTTTCTTTAAAAACGTTCTCAACATCATCTTTAAAATCATTCATGGCATGAGCAGCAGAATTGCAGGCGTTTTATACCGCAGCAAAATAACGTTTTTATTGGTAAAGTAACTAAACGAAAACAAAGTAACGTGATTTAAAAACGTTTTCAATGACTTCAGCTACCATCAGACAATCTCATGTAATGTGAAAGCGAAGTTAAAAAACTATGTCAAATTTTTCCAAAATGTTCATGTGGAGACAAAAACCTGGATTTTTAAAACGTTGAAACTAGTTAGTTGTTCGGGGTTTTAAGTCGTTGTTACTTAGTAAGAATTTCGTAGAAAAATTTAGTAGGGAAAGTGTTTCAAATTCCGAAAAACTTACGAATTTTAAACAACGGGTGCAAAAAACTGGTTTAAAAATGTTGTTAATAACGTTTTCATTGCACCATTGGCGACTAATTTACTAAACGTTTAGAGACAGCTATCTAAACTGTTCTCAATAAAGAATTATTCATGATGTTAACAGCAGAACTCCAATCGTTTTATCCAGGGAAATAACGCTTTTATCGATGATGAAACTGAAGAATCATAGAGTAAGGAACATGATTTAAAAAAGTTATCAACATCTTAAGCTGCCAGCAGAATAAATGAAGCTAAATTAAAACGAAAATTGAATTTGATTTTATAGCCGATACTTGAAGTCAAAGGGGGAACATTATAATTCATAAAAGGAAATAAACATATGGAAAGTTGAATCTTTTGAGTTTAAGCTTAAGTTTTCTACCAGTAAACCTCAAATGTACAAATTTTCTTCCAAAACTGGAGAATCAAAAAGCTCTAAAAATTCATATTCAGAGAGTTTCAAGTCGAAATTGCGGTTTAAAAATAATTCAACAACGACTAGCAATTTCCAGAAGTTATTTTGGCTAATACAGATAATCAAATCAAAATTTTCCATTTAAATGAAAATTATCATAAAAAATTAACATCGGAATAATGTAAGCGTTCAAGCAAACCACTTCTGAAGATGCAAGCCACTAGTGCTTGTGAAACGTCAGGAAGAAATTTTACCGAACGACGGCCTAAAAACCCGAAAAACCCATTAGTTTCACCATTTCTAAAATTCCTGCCGCCTGAAGCAAAGCAGAAAAAGAGCAGACCTTTTTCCTGTATATTACCAATACTGCAAATTGCAGAAATTTCGCAGGCTTCACGAATTGCAGACCCAATTTTAAGAAATTCCTGACTAATGCAGCAAAACAAGGAGATACTAAAAGTTTGATCCGTCGGTTACCAGAACTCTAACTTGTAAATCGAGCAAACGACAAATGTTTTTCCGGCAAATTCCAGTCTCAGACTGTACATTTTCCGTCTCCAAGAATAGCAAACCCAATTTTAAAAATTGCTGCCGACTGCACCAAATCAGGGAAATATTCAAAATTTTGTCCTCGAGCTGCTACGGCCCCCCAAAGTAGATCCTGCACAATGGATAGCAAAAAAAAATTTCATGAAAATTCCAGATTCAAGCAAAAAATTTGCGATTTTCAACAAAATGCAGATCCGCTTTTTAAAAATGTTCCCGTCTGAATGAGAGAGTGTAGAAAGTCAACATTTTTTTGTGCATTGCGAAAACCTGACTATAAAACAAAAACATTTCAGTAAAAGAAGTAATCGGATGATTTAAAAAAACACAAAAGTTTTTTTTTAAATGTTTGCGCAATAAATTAAAGCAGGCCAACCTCAATTTTTCACAAGTTATAAAAATACGTATAAATTTCGAAAAATTTTAATTCAACGAGGAATCTTGTCGATTTAAGTTTGAATCATATTCCTGGCCGGGAAACCCGTACAAGTAAACTTGTAAAAAGTCTGCATTCGGGTGTTTAATGTGTGGTTGAGATTAAATTAATCAAAATACAAGTTTTACCAGAAATTTACATGTTTGTTTTGTATACGCTTTTGCTGATTTTTTTAGCTCTAAATGAGAATTTTTAATTCCAGTAAGTTTGAGTTCAAAGTGCAAATTGCACAAATTATAGAGAAACATCTAATATTTTCTTGTAAATTTTGAGCATACATTTCCAGCCCATTCAAGTTTCTAGGTGAAGGAACTCGAAATCGAGTGTTAAAAATGTGAGTTTTAACCGAAAACTTTAAATTGAAACTGGAAATTAGAATTTTCAATGCAGAAGTTTCTAGTTGAATTCAATTTTTATGTAAAGTTTGCTTTTGTTGAAACTATCAGATTTGAGTTTCGCCTTCTAGGAAACAAAATTCGAGTGCAACGTGTAAACTATAGTAATTCAAAGAGAAAAATCTGAAACTTTCAAGTACATTTTAGGCACATTTTCGAGTTTGGACGCTTCCAATTTGATGTGGTTCATACTCTGGAAGCAATATTCAGAATGAGTTTGAAATTGAATGATCTTTAGGTTTTGGAAGAGAAAGTTTTGCAAGAAGAATTTTGAAACTTAAGAGTAGAAAGGAGAATAATAATTTGGAAAATTTTGTTATCAGTTCAGTGTTTCGAGGTTAAACTCAGAATGTGGAGTTTAAACTGCAAACATTTTTTCCAGCAAAATGAGGACACATTTAGCTTCAATTGAAACTGTCCACCCGATCATAACAGAAAGCCACTCAAATCTTCGACAAAATCCATAGAAGTCGATCGTGCAAACGAGTAAAGCATTTATTGAACAAAAATCCTAAATCATCATCAAAACAACAAACATTCCAGGCAGTTTTCACGAATTCCTCCTTTTTTGTTCAACCAACTCAACATGCCCAATTTGAATTGAAAAAGTAATGCGTGTTGCATCCAGCTGAATCCAAACCGCAGTTGGCATCGTATGCGGTCGACGCTTTAATGAATCCTAACCATTTCTTGGATCTCAGTATTGCAATCATCTAATCAACAAATGCAAATTATTCATTTGAATGTGTATTCGAGGTGCTATTGGGTGTTCTCGTTCTAAAAGGAGCCTAATTGCAAGCAACTAGAAAATATCGCATGACCCTCTTGTGCGACGTTAATCTAATTCTGTCACATCGATGGTGGGGTCAGTAATCACACAAATAATGCTAATTTGAAAATTGTAGGATCAAGCAATTTGGGTAACATTAGTGAATCGAAAAAGGTCATGAACTTCCAGCGTATCTAACGGACGTCAGCGAGTAAACTAGCAAATTTCTTGTTTTCATAACTGTATAAATATTTTGCTGTTTTGGAACATTATTGGCGCCACTTTTTTTCAAACATTGTCTTATGCACACGGATTGGAATCATCATCCTTTGAGAAATGGCGTCTCACTTGCTGAGCTTATACAAAAGTCTATTCAATCCAAGCGACTTAAGCCTGGATTATCTGGAGACCAAAATGGATTCCACTTTCCAGTTTCCTTCATCCATGAACAAGAGTTCAATTTAGCAATTTTTATTTCAGTGACTGTTCTGAGTTTGGTCGATGCTGCCCCATCCAAAGGGTCCACTAAGGCCTCCTTGAAGAAGAAGCAAACCTGCGCCAAAGACTGTGGTGACAACTACAAGCCAATTTGCGCAGGCGATGGATCGAAAAATCTGAGCTTTGGCAGCGAATGCGTTCTGAGCAACTACAACTGCGAAAATCAGAAAAGTGAGTGTTGTAGGAAAATCGAAGATCCAATCTTAAAAATATTCAAAGTTCTCGAAAGGAAGAAAACAGAATCTTAAACGATCGATGTTTCTGCCCAAACATTAGCAAATGTAACAGAAAATTTTGGGAAGCAACGCTATCAATAACGTTTTAATTATCTACGTTGCCACTGATCTAGGAGACTCTAAAAATTTCTTCAAAGTTCTTAAAAAGAACAAAACTGTTCTCAAAGGGAGGAAAACAGAATGATAAACGTTTCATATTTCTGTCCAAACGTTAGAAAATGCTTTAAACATTTTCCGAAAACAACGTTATCAATAACGTTTTCATTATAAACGTTGCAACCGATTTGGATAACCCATAAAACATCGTTAAAGTTCTGAAAAAGAAACAAGTCGAAACTGGTTCAAGTTCAACAGTAGCGTTTAAATCATTAGCAACGGTATTATAAACATCTTAAAAACAACTTGATTTACAAACGATTTTAATAACGGTTTCTTCATATAAGTCGCTACTGAATTGGAAAATTGTTAAAATATCTTAAAAGAAAAGACAACTAGAATTTCGTTTTGATCCACTAAGAAGCTGAAAAAAGTTTTTTAATTTTTTCTTATTACTCAAAATTTTAATGTAGAGGAAATTGGGATTTTAAAACAATGTTGAAACTGGTAAGTTTCAAATGTCAGAAAAACTCCCTAATTTTTAAGCAAAGGCCACGGAAGCCAAACTAATTTGAAAATGTTGTTAATAACGTTTCCTTTGCGTCATTAACGACTAACTTACTAAACGTTCAAGGGAAGTTTTCCTTAAAAATCTTCTCAGCAGCGATCATTCATGGCGTGAGCAGCAAAATTGCAGGCGTTTCACACAGCAGCAAAATAACGTTTTTATTGATGAATAAGCTGAACGAACGAACTTTAGCTATCATCAGACAATTTGCAGCTAATTTGAAAGCGAAACTACAAAAATAAGTCTACTTTTCTCAAAATGTTTATAAGGACAGAAAAACCAGGATTTTTAAATTATTGAAACTGGTGAGTTGTTCGAGTTTTCAGGTCGTTGTTACTTTGTAAGAAGTTTGTAGAAAATTTTAGAAGAATAACTGTGTTAAATTTCAAAAAACTTACGAATTTTATGCAACGGCTGCGAAAAACTGGTTTAAAAATGTTGTACTTTAATGTTACTAAAATGTTACTAAAAGTTTGGAGACGGTTTTCCTTTAAAACGTTCTCAAAAAAAAATCATTCATGTTAACAGCAGAATTCCAAACGTTTCTTGCAGCAGACAAATAACGTTTTTATCGATGATAGAACTGAGAAAAAATGGAGTAAAGAACGTGATTTACAAACGTTATCAACAACTTAAGCTACCAGCAGAAGAAATGAAGCTAAATTAAAACCAAAATTGAATTTTGATTCTATTGCCGATATATGAAGTCAGAGAGGGAAAACTATAATTGAGAAAGAGGAATAAACATTTGGAAAGTTGAATGTTTTGAGTTTAAACTGGATATTTAAAGTTTTCCACCCGTAAAACTCAAATGTACAAATTTTCTCCCAAAACTGGAGAATCTAAAAGCTCGGAAAATTCATATTCAAAAAGTTTCAAGTCACCATTCCGGTTGAAAAATCAGTCAACAACCACTAGCAATTTCCTAAAGACTTTTTGGCTCCTACATATATTCAAATCTAAATTTTCCATTTAAATGAAAATTATCAAAAAAACTGAAACAAGTAGAAACTGGACAATTATTATTATTTTCCACTTAAAGAATGTTTCATTTTGCTAACAGTAGAATCACGAAAGTTTTGATCGTTTAAGAAACTGAGAATAAATGAAAGACGTTGTGATTTAAAAAATGTTTTTTAATTTTTTTTGAATTACTCAAAATGTTCATGTAGAGAAAACTGGGATTTTAAAATAATGTTGAAACTGGTGAGTTTTAAAAGTCCGGAAACTCACTAATTTTTAAGCAAATGCCACGAAAGCTTAACTAATTTAAAAATGTTGTTAATAACGTGCACGTTGCGTCATTAGCGACTAACTTACTAAACGTTCAAGGAAATTTTTCTTTAAAAATGTTCTCAAGGGTGATTATGCATAGCGTGAGCAGCAGAATTGCAGGCGTTTTATACAGCAGCAAAATAACGTGTTTATGGATTAAGGAACTGAACGAAAACAAAATAACGTGATTTAGAAACGTTATCAATAACTTCAGCTTCCATCAGACAATTTGCAGCTAATTTGAAAGCGAAATTACGAAAATAAGTCCACTTTTTCCAAAATGTACATATAGAGAGAAAAACCTGGATTTTTTTAAATATTGAAATTGATGAGTTGTTCGGGTTTTTAGGTTGTTGTTACTTAGTAAGAAGTTCATAAGTGTTTTAAATTCCAAAAAACTTACCTATTGTAAGCAACGGCTATCAAATCCTAACTGGTTTAAAAATGTTGTTCATAACGTTTTCATTGCATCATTAACGACTAATTTACTAAACGTTTGGGGAACGTTTTGTTTTAAAACGTTCAATAATTGATGTGGTTAACGGCCGAATTTCAAACGTTTTATACAGATAAATAACGTTTTTATTGATTATGAAACTGAAGAAAAAATAAAGTGAACAACGTGATTTAAAAACATGATCAACAACTCAATCTACCAGCAGAGAACATGCAGCCAAATTAACGAAAAACTGAAGAAACTGAGTAAAATTTTCAAAAAAATTCTTCAAAAAATTCAAAATAAATCTTTATGTAGAGTAAATTGAATTTGTAAAATTTTCAAACTATAGAGTTTTTCGAGTTGTTCGGCTGTCGCGCAAAAATATTCCCTAACGTTTGTGAGCGCGAGTGTTTAAAACGTCCGAAAAACTCACTAAATTCAAGCAAAGTCAAACCTCATTCTTTAAAAAATGTCGTTAATAACGTTTCCATTGCATCACTAACGACTAACTTACTAAACGTTTAGAGTTAGAAAGTTGCAATCAGAGAATTTGCAGGCTAATTGAAAGCAATCCAAAAGAAAAAACTAAGTCAAATTTTTCCAAAGTTTTCATATAGAGATAACTGGATTTTTTAACGGAGATTTAACATTTTAATCAATTAAACATCTGAAGAAAATTTTAAAAATCCGTGTTGAAAACGTTGTTAAAAACGTCTCAACTGTATTGGAAACAAGTATAATGCTACAAACGTTTGTTATGCCCGAAAAAAATGTTGTTAGCAGAAGTTTGAAGTAGAAAAAGCTGGAAGCGAAAAATATTTGATAAATGTGTATCAATTTTTTGCAGATTTGAAGCTGGTTTCGCAAGGCGAATGCCCGGGAGGTGGCGGAGTACGACTTTCCTAAGCTCCAGTCTTCCAGGAAGCGCCGCCATCGACTTTAGAGGCCGCATTCTGAATATATTTTGAATAAACCATTTTATAATAATCGTTTTTCTCTCATTCATTTTTTAATTAAGTGGGCAACGCAAAAAAAGCCGGCCAGCACAAACTAATCAAATCCGAACGAATTAATCGAAAGTGATAGCGCATCGACAGACTTAGAGTCACATTCTAAAAATAATTGTCTTCATTGAATATCGAACTAATAAATTTATCATTCGATTTAGTTCAGCCAGCTGGTAAGGCGGTCCCATCATCAATCTTGGGCCATAAAATTGGATTCGATTGCCGGACCACCTAGAAGTGGGATATCTGTGATCTGGTTCCGATATCGATTAATGGTCAGTAGCTTAAATGGTTTCAAACCCTCAGAAGCTCCGAACCGTCTCACAACTAAATAAATTTTGTGATTGTGCTTTGTGACCGCGCTGTGCTCAAGTTAATCCACCTGGACTTAAGGACGAGTTTTGAAGAAATGAAGTGTATTGTGATCGCTTTGGCGTTGTTGAGTAAGTACTAGGTACCCAACTTTGAAGCCAATCGCGTTTTCTAGACGCTTCTCTTAAGTTCACCCAACAGTTTCCGTAGCGATGTCTTAATCGGAATTTGCCGAAAGTTTTTAATATCCCAAGGGTAAAGTTCGATTTGCTGATAACGCGCGCCATGTACGTTGCAGAGGTCATACTATAATTTGTCCTATTCAGATAAACTGCTCGCTTTACACAGATTTATCTTTAATTGCTCTTTCTATCATTTAGCCAAAATTTATTAATAGAATTCATCAGCTAATCGCATCCGAAAAAGATCTTCTGCGGACTGAATGAATTTTTTGATATATTTATCGCCTTGATTTTAGGTCATTTTACAAATCGTCAACAAAAAAATCAAATATATAAAACAGTGACAAAACTTTCTGCATAATCTGGCTAAGACATCCCCTGGGAGCAACGATTGATTTTTGCTATTTCAGGCATTGTGTCCAGACTAGGGGCGGCTCCAGGAGGCCGGAGGCCTCCAATGAATTGCATGTTTGGCCAAATGGAGGATTGCCAGCTGGATTCCGGTCCTGTGTGTGGAATTGACGATTCCGGAATTCTGGAAACGTTCGAAAATAAATGCATGGCCTATGTTATGGCGTGCCAAAAGGACACTTGTAAGTTCTTGTTTGCAAATTTATTTCCCCGGTTGTAACAGTGTTTCTGTTTTTTTTTTGAAGATTTTGTCGAAGTTAAGCCTGGAGAATGCTAGCGCTCAACAGCCACACCTGGACGCCCAATCAAACCTCTTGACAGTATTTACTAAAAGCTTTACTTAAACGTTTTTGACATGCGGTATTGAAAAAGTACATAGTTTTGTTTAATATTTATACGAAAATAGGATGTATACATTATAGTTTAGGGATTGGTAAATAAAGATGATTTAAGGACAAAACAGCTTTTTAAATTCGAAATCGTTCGAAAACGGAATTTTTAATTCAAAATAGAAACTCAATTTTCTAACTTATCAGTTTTAGTTCAGAAGCTAAATTTTGCGCGCTTGGTGGAAAGCTTAGTACCAAATTCAACGATGGAATTTTGCACTAAATTTCATTTTTGAAATGGAAATTCGAAATTGATATGGAAAATTTACATTTCAATTTTGCTTTCAGCTTTGTCAAATTTTGGAGTTACGTTATTCGAGCAAAAAATACAAAGTTTTCAAAATGAAACTCAAGGCAAAACTCAAATTTTCTCAACAATATTTGAGTGCAAATTTCGAGTTTGCATGTTTCAAGTTTTCAAAACAACATTCAGTATTCATAAAGTTCATAAAGTATTCATTCCATATATATTTAAAGTGGAAGATTTTACCGTACAGTCGGACATTTTCAAGTATTTCAGAAGTATGAAGAACTCCAAATTGCAAAAAGTCTCGTTGGAATCTTTTCGATTTCACCATTTTTTAGTTATCCCAATGAAAAATCGGAAGCGAAAATCGCCTCTAAAGTTTTCTTTTTGCTTCCAGTTGTGTCAGAGTTTCTCCTGAAATCCCAAAGTGAAAGTGAAAATTATGCATTTTGAAAATGGAAAAAATCAAATTGCCAATTCACCCTAAAAAAACTCACGATGCGTATGATTTTGCTTTAGCCGAATTATAGAGTTTCAAATGAAAAGTTTAGATTGTCACTGTTCAGAAGTAGAAGTAGAGCTGAAAATCGAATTTGTTCAACTGGAGACGTCGAGTTTTCGACTCAATTTTAAGCAAAAATTTCAAACATTTTCAGTTGAAAGTGGAGATTTGCTAGTTTGATTTCGAACACTTTTTACGTTTACTTTTACCGGTTTCAACTAAAAGTTGGATTTTCACTTTTTTTTTTCACAGAATCGAATTGTGCACTTCCAAGTCCTCAGGAATTTAGATTCAATGCGCTAAAAGTTGAAATTTCGTTAAAATTCACTTAACATTAATCAAACAGAACAAACTGTTGATTTTTCATTAAAATGTTTGTATTCTAACGCCTGTAACTTGAACTTAAGGAAATAACAAGTTTGTAGGCGAAGGAATATGAAATGGAGCGTATAATATGTGAACTGAAAGTAGAAATTTCTCTTCGAATTCAAAAGTTTATTTTAGTTTCTTGAGTTACGTTATTCAAACGAATACTCCAAATTAATTAAAATGAAACTCCAAAATTCTGGAATTTCAAAGGAAAGACTCAACGCAAATTTTCAGTTCGGTTGTTTTAAATTTTGAAAGAATATTCAGTGTACCTAAAGTGAAAAATGCTACATTGACGTTGGATGGTTTTTCAGTTCAGCTTTTCATATTTGAAACCAAATTCTTATTTTAAGTGGATTTTTTTAGTAAAAAGTCCATATTCAATTCAATTTCTGAAGTGGAAATCGCCTTCTGGTTTCATTTTCATAATTTTGGTCGTAAATTTAAAATTTACCTAAAATCAATTTTCAAAAAAACATTTTCAATTCGATCTTAACGGAATGCACACTGTGAGTTTGAGTCGCTTCTGACAAAATGTAGAATTTCAAATGGACAGTTCACATCCAACTATTAAATGTTGAGTTTTGGAAGTTTTAAATTTTTTTAGGCCGGCGAAGGACATGTTGACCTTTGGACTCAATTTTAACTAAATATTTGAAATATTTTTAGTTCGTTTAATTTTAAGTAATTTTCAAATTTACTTGTACAAGCTTCAATAAAAAACAAGATTTTGAAGATTAAAATCGAATTTGCTTGGAAGTTTTTAGCAATTTAGATTTAAAGTGCAAAAATTTAAAATTTCATTCATTTTATTCTGTTTTGTCTAAACTGGAGCCTCTAACTCGATCTTAAGAAAATTTTAGTTTTTATGTTAAATTCGAAACTTGAATAAAAAACAAAGTAGAATTAGTCCAAAATTCAAAAACAGAATTAGAATTTGGACAGTTGGGGGTTTTGAGCTTCATCTGCAAATTTAAAGACGAAATTTTTGTTTTAAGGCTATTCAACAAACTAGCTTCAGAAGTGGAAATCGCCTTCTGGTTGCGTAAAATATCGTAATTTTGGTGGTAAAGTTCAAATTTACCTAAAATCAAAGTTCAATTGTACCCTTGGAATGTTCAATCCGATCTAGAAGAAATTCACACTTTGAGTTTGATTTCGCTTTTGCCAAAATGTGGAATTTCAAATGCAAACTCCACATTCTAACTGTTAAATGTCGAGTTCACAGTCCATTTTTTTTTAAGCAGGCAAATGACACTTTGATTTATGGACTCAATTTTAAGCAAAAATTTTAAATATTTTTAGTTCGTGTTATTTTGAATAATTTTCAAGTTTTCTTGCACAAGTTTTTTAAGATTAAAACTTAATTTTTCACTTTGAAATTTTTAGCTATTTCATTTCAATGCTATTTTGTCTAAACTGGAGCCTTAAACTCGCATCTTAAGAAAATTACAAGTTTCTAAGCATAGAAACTTGATATCGAGTGTATAATATCTGAATTAAAACAGAACTCAATCAAAAGAACTGTTTTGTGAGTTGAAACTGGAAATTAGATGATTCAAAGCGAAACTTTCTCTTGAAATTCAAACGTAATTTTTTTTTGCTTTTTTAAAACTTGGACCTTTGAATGAAAATTTTTAATTTAGGATTCAAAATTCGTGTTCAACCTGAAACTTTGTCGAATGCAGAGTAAAAGTCGATTGCGTTTCGAGTTTGAATTCAATCTTGCACTAAAAGCCAGAGTTTTTATGTTAAATTCGAAACTTGAATAAGAAAAGACAAAGTAGAATTAGTCCAAAATTCAACAACATAATTAGAATTTGGGAAGCTGGGGTTTTTGAGCTTTTGAACTCAGTTTTGCCAATTTACTCGCAAAATTGAAGTTTACACTTTGAAAGAGTTGAAAGACGCAATTTTTGTTTTATGATGATTCAACAAAGCTGTTTCTGAAAGAAATTTTCAGTTCTATTTAAAATGTTTCCATTGTTTATTTTTTGGTATTTTTAGTATCTTTTGCAGTATTTCAATGCTCTGAAAGCCCGAGAAATGAGAAAAATCTATACTTTCTATAAGAGAAACTGTAAGTTCATAATTGAAGGAATTTAAATTTTCTGTTTAAACTGTGAATTTTTGATCAAACTTTCAACGTTTTGATGTTGGTACTCTGCTTTTTGAAAATTTTGGCTTTCGACTGAAGTTAAAATTCGAACTTGAGGATTCTAAGCAGGACGCTCGACATTTCCAAATCCTTTCTGGGCCCGAATTTTGAGCTTTTAAGAAAATTATTTATTAGCTGATATGAAGCTGAGCTCAAGTTTGCAGTTTTAGTCTAAAGACGGTGCTTGATGTAAATCCGAATTAGTAGAGAAATCATTTTTTTTTGTGACAAATAGTAAATTTTGAAAGTCTAAAAGCAAAAGATTCTATTGGAATCCGATATTTGTCTTCAGACTGAAGCCAATTAATCGGCAAGGAAATTGCGCGAATAAAAACTAAGGAATATGAAAATTGGTATTTCAAATTTGTGGCCAAATTTTAGAATTGAAAGTTAAAGTTTTATGATTGAAAGTAAGACTTCCACTGTCAACAAAGCCTTCAATTTGTAGCAGAAATTTTGAATTTTTACTCTCTTATTTGAAAATGTTTTTTGATTGAAACTTTTAGTTTAAAACAGTTGAAAAAATTTCGAATTTATTACAAAAAACAGCTAACATTTTTTTAAGCTCCCACGTTGTGTTAATAGTTTCCAATTCGCAAAGTGCACATTTCTCGCTTAAAATTCCCAATCCAAATGAAAATTGTTTTCCATATACATTTGAAGAACTCCAAATTCCAAAACGTCTAGTTGGAATTTTGTCCATTTCACCATTTTTCAGTTCGGAAAATCGGAAACGAAAATCGCCTCTAAAGTTTTCTTTTCGGTTCCGGTTGTGTGGACTTTTCGAATTTTGGTGAGGCATTTGCAATTCTCCTGAAATCCAAGTGAAAATAACGCATTTTGAAAATGGAAAATTCAAATTGTCAATTCACCCTGAAAAAAATCGTTTCGTGTGGTTTTGTTTTAGCCGAATTATAGAGTTTCAGTTCAAGCTACAAGTGGAAACGTCGAGTTTTCGACTCAATTTTAAACAAAAATTTCAAACATTTTTATATGAAATTGGGTATTTGCTAATTTGATTTTGAACACTTTTTAAGATTACTTTTACCGGTTTCAATTAAACGCTGGATTTTTGACTTCAGAATTGAATTGTGCACTTTCAAGTCCTCAGAAATTTAGATTCAATGCTCTAAAAGTTTAAATTTCTTCAAAATTCACGATTCATTAATCAAACACAACAAACTGTTTTCATTAAAATGTTTGTATTCTAACGCCTGTAACTTGAACTTAAGGAAATAACAAGTTTGTAGCAGAATGAATATGAAATGGAGCGTATAATATGTGAACTGAAAGTAGAAATTTCTCTTCGAATTCAAAAGTTTATTTTAGTTTTTTGAGTTACGTTATTCAAACGAATATTACAATATAATATACAAATTAATCAAAATTAAACTCCAAAATTGTAGAATTTCAAAGGAAAAACTCAACGCAAATTTTCAGTTCGGTTGTTTTAAATTTAGAAAAGAATATTCAGTGGACATAAAGTGAAAAATGCTACATTGACGTTGGACGGTTTTTTCAGTTCAGCTTTTCATATTTGAAACCAAATCCATATTTTAAGTGGTTTTTTTTTAGTGAAAAGTGGATATTAAATTCAATTTCAATTGAACCAAACCTACAGTTCGGATCTTCGCGAATTCACAATTAATAAGTTTTCACAGAAAAAAAATTCAGAAGTGGAAATCGCCTTGTGGTTGCGTAAAATATCGTAATTTTGGTGGTAAATTTGAAATTTACCTAAAATAAAAGTTCAATTGGGCGCTTTGAAGCTGAAAAGCCAACATTTTCAATCCGATCTCAAAGGACTTCACACTTTGAGTTTGATTTCGCTTTTGCCAGAATGTGGAAATTCAAATGCAAACTCCACATTCTAACTGCTAACTGTCGAGTTCAAAATCAATTTTTTTTAAGCAGGCAAAGGAAACTTTGATCTTTGGACTCAATTTTAAGCAAATATTTGAAATATTTTTAGTTCGTTTGATTTTAATTCGTTCAATTCAATCTTTAGAATTCGAACTGAACAATGACTAGATTGCGCTTCGAGTTTGAATTCAATCTTGCACTAAAAGCAAGAGTTTTTATGTTAAATTCGAAACTTGAATAAAAAAACAAAGTAGAATAAAGTAAAAATTCAAAAACAGAATTAGAATTTGGAATATTGCGGGTTTTGAGCTTCATCTGCAAATTTGAAGCGAATATTTGAAGAGTTAGTTGACTTATTAGAAGTAGTTGAGTTGTGAGAGCGAAATTTAGAACGTCTGCGAAACCCTAACTAAAATTTGTCAAACTGATAGCGAACAAGTCAATTTTGCCATTGTTTCTTTTTTGGTATTTAATAAATTCTCTGAAGTCCGAGAAATGAGAGAAACAATAAATCTATACTTTCTATAAGAGAACGGTAAGTTCATAATTGAACGAATTTAAATTCTCTGTTTAAACTGTGAATTTTTGATCAAACTTTCAACGTTTTGATGTTGGTACTCTGCTTTTTGAAAATTTTAGCTTTCGACTGAAGTTCAAATTCGAACTTGAGCATATTCTAAGCAGGACGCTCGACATTTCCAAATCCTTTCTGGGCACGAATTTTGAGCTTTTAAGAAAATTATTTATTAGCTGTTATGAAGCTGAGCTCAAGTTTACAGTTTTAGCCTAAAATGGTGCTTGATGTGAATCGTTTGAATAGAGAAATCACAATTTTTCGATACAAAAAGTCAATTTTGAAAATCTAAAAGCAAAAAATTCTATTGGAATCCGATATTTGTTTTCAGACTGAAGCCAATTAATCAACAATGAAATTGTGCGAATAAAAACTAAAGAATATTAAAATTGGTATTTCAAATTTGAGGTAAAATTTTAATATTGAAAGTTAAGGTTTCATGTAAAATTTCCACTGCCAACAAAGATTTCAATTTTTAGCAGAAATTTTGAATTTTTACTCCAGCTTTGTTCTCAGTTTGTTTCGATAAGTGAAACTGAGTTTAAAACGGTTGAAAAAATTTCGAATTTATTGCAAAAAACAGGTAAAACTTTTAAACTTCCGAGCGTTTATAATGGAAATTGTGGGTCCCAAGTCATATTTCACACTTAAAGTTGAACTTTTAAGGCCAAAGTTAAAGGAATGTTTAATTAATTGTAAAAGTTTCAAGGTTTACAAGAAAATTTACATTTAAAGTTAAAAATTCAGATTGGACATTGAAGTGGAACTAAGAAGTGTATAGTGAAAAATGCGATTTTAAGCAAAAAACTAAATAATACTTGAGTTTGGTGTTCAAAATATCGTGTTTGAAGCGAAAAAATTGCAATTGCAAATGAAAATTCACCAACAGCCTAAAATTGTTCAAAATTAAGAACGACTCTAAACTTGCACTTTGTGTTAATAGTCTCCAATTCGCAAAGTGCATATTTCATGCTTAAAAATCGCAATCCCATATGAACTAAATATTTTTTGGAATTTTTCCTAAACCACCTGCTTACTCAAATCCGAAATTCGCCTACAATACTCAGGGGCACGTAAATGCGCCAGTTTTTTTTCCTCAAACCGACATCAGTTTAGCAAAAGTTGCGGCGTCCAGAGTATCGTCTTTAGTCGCGTCGCGATTTCACCTCCGTCCGGGATCTCTGCCTTAAATTTAGACACAGCCGCTCGGTTTCGCGTAAAGCGGGATGGATTTATAACTTTTTTTTTTAATAAAAATATATTCTGTCACTGGTGGGTGTTAACCAAATATCTGGACATGGAAATCGAGCTTGGAATGCTTCTAAAGCTACTGTTATGCTGTAAGTTTTCATCAACTTTTGTTTGAGTTTAAAGCTTTGAAGTTTTGCTTGATTGTTACTTAAAATTTTGGAGTTTGTTGTTAGTTATTTGCAAAAAATGTGCGCAATTTTTGCTAACAATTTGGTCAATGTGCTGTTCAAAAGGATTCAGATAGATTTTGAGAGTTTTAAACATGAAATTTCTGGCAAAAACACTGAATTCCTGGCTCTAAACTTTCCTTGACAAAAATTAATTTGCTGGAAAAATGCACGGGGATTTGCAATCGTTTTAACGTGCAAACTTTACGTTTGCGCTAGACCAGATCATAAAAATTGTATTTTAAATATGCATAAATATTAGTCGAAGTCTGGGCATGTTTAAAGAAGCGGCAGCTTCCTTAGCAATAAACGCTATGCTAATATGTGCCTATCTTTACCTAATTATTAGGAAACATTATGTTCTGTTTATACACGAAATGCTGGTGAAAACCTTTCCGGGTGAAACCGCCTAAGAATTTAGGGCTTGCAGATTGAAAATGGCCTTTGTAGCATGTAGAGCCTGAAAATTCCAGTTTGAAACAAACATGAATCAATTGACTTTATAATTTGTTATATTTAAACACGCCTCCTGGTAAGGTTGTATCTTTTGTAGTCGGTTAATATCTTAATTGCGAAATTTTATTTTAAATTAAAATTTTTCAGATTGTCTATTCTAGAAACCGTGCAAACCACGGCTGCTGTTGGAGCTTTTGAATATATAGCCTAGACAGACTCTGTATTTTCCTGTAAAAGAATTGATCAGTTAATATTAACTACTTTATTTAAAAACAGATTTCAAGTTCTTGACAACCGGCTAGAATCACAATAAGGACGAGCTCCTGCAGGAGGCGTGATTTATATTTAGCCACGCCTCCTGGTCGAGCTTCAACAGGTTATTATTGCCTATTTTTAAACTAATTAATTCCAGATTTAGCCGCAGTTTTCTGAACAATCAGCATTAAAAAAGCAGCTTTGAACAATATTGGCCAGTTGCTTGTTCCTGTAAACCGAAAAAAATATTAGATAAAGAATCCGCTATAAATATAAATATTTCAAAAGATTGGGTTGTTTACTGCCGTTCGTCGTATCTTAGCTCTAGTGTATTAAAATCCACTTTTTTTAACTTTCAAAGCGACTTACAACATGGAAACAATACAAACACAACACCATTTCAAATCAAGACCACTGTTATATTAAGCCATGCCCCCAGGCGGAGTCTAGTTCAACACCAGTTTCCTTACACCTTAGATTCTTCGAGTAGGATTTTGATATTATCAAGTACTTTTGGTACAAATCTTTATATAAATACCGCAAGTTGTCACAGCTAAAGCAAAATCTTCCAATTCATGTCCAATCCAGCTATTGAATATTTAGCCACGCCTCCTGGTGGAGATAGAACTAATATACAGGGTGATTGAAAATATAGAAAAAAAAATTTCGAAAATTTCTAGAAGACATTAACAGTTGAAGATCGAATTTCAACTTTGTTATTAAGCATTATTTTAAAATGGTTCCATGTTTAATTGGTGGCATATTGGAATACTTAAGCATTCAAAAATAATTATTACGATCTTTGCTTCAAATTACGAAAATTTTTGATATCAAAAAATTTCTTTTCTACAATTTTTTTATGAAAAGGTACAGCGGCAATGATGTTTTTTGTCATTAACAGATAGTTACAGGTAGATCTTGTCAATCTTAACAATAATTTGTCAAACTGTGACTTACTTTGAATTTCCTTTTACGAATTTGCCGATATGCGATTAGTTCAGGGGAAATGCTACAGTAAGATAGCAGAACCTGAAAGAACCCACCCCAACAAAGGGCGAAGAGAGTGGTTCCAGGAAGATAGTGGACGACAATCGATGTTCGGGTTCCAGGCATAGAAAAACAAGTATTGGACATAACCGAATCAGACCCTTCCAGGGGCACTCAGAGCACAATAACTGACACTTTCCCAAACACCAAGTAAGTACCGAGAAAGGGCTACGTTCCTACCACGTTTGTACGATACACACAGCACAAGGAGATACAAATGGAGCAGGAGTTAATTAACTGAATATGAGAAGCTGCTTGA